TATAGGGACTAATTTAGAAATGAAACCTTTTTAAAGCCTTAAAAACCAAGGTTACAAGGGAAAGATTCACAAGATCAATAAATGGGATTAGAAGAGAGATTTGATTTCATCAAATTCCCATTGTTTGTAGGTGATAATTGTTTCTCAAAATTCAGTGAAAAGGCATTAAAGAAAATTGAAAGTTAGAGTATAAAATCAGGGTGATTGTTGAAAGTAGCAATAGTTTATAAGGCTTTAGAATCTCCTATTGTAATCATTTATATATCACTTTATTGTTTCAGTTTTTTTAATAGTGGCATTCATTTCTTCTAGACCTCTCTGTTAAGTTAACCTGAATATATGAGAGTATCTTATCTCAGAACTGTTAATATGAGTTCTGATACCAGTTGTTTAAATGGGAAACCTTTCATTGAAATGTTACAAAATGTGTAGTGTTACATTAAACAACTTTAGGTATTTGTTATTTGTGTATGTCATTTTATATCGCTTTCTCCTTACTTAGACTACTTATATGATATTTATCATTGAATGATTTATTCCTCAGATCTTTATTTTGTAGTTCACTGTATTTAAATATTTTTCAGCATTATAAATGGTGTAATAATTTTGGTCATATCTTCAATCTCTTTCTAAGTATTAAACTGAGATTAATTATTAAAGATGCTTTTGTTAAAAAATAATGAATGAGTAAGGTAGTTTTGAATTATAGGACAATTCTATCTTTGGAAACAAACTCAAATTATTTACTTGAGGTAGCCAGCTTTCACTGGAGTTACGCAGTGAGCGGAGACGCCTGACCACATTTCCCTCCCACCTGTGGCTCTCTTGCACTGCTGTTTCTCTTGCCCGATTACACCTTGTGTCCAATGCACTTTTTCTTTCTCCTTTCCTCCCCGCTCACTCCTACTTCAAGCTACGAATGGTTGTATTTGTGCTTTAAAAATGATTTGTTGGTACAAAATTCAGAATTTGTTTTTATCCATCATATCTTGTCATGTTTATCTTTGTCAAATTCTATCCATCTCTGTGTCTATTATCTATTTACTATCTATCTATCTATCTATCTATCTATCTATCTATCATCTCCCTTGTGTGATTTTTTTTTTTTTTTTTGTTTTTCTCCGGTACCGGGAACCGAACTCACAACCCTGCGCTTGCCAGGCAGGCGCTTTTGCCACTGAGCTAAATCCCCAGCCCCTCCCTTGTGTGATTTAAAGGTGGTCAATTATATGACCAAGTTAGTGAGTTAGGAAGTTACTATAACTTCTAAATTATGGTTTTATGTAATCTTATCTTTTTCCCAAGTTCAAGAACTTTTACTGCTCTTTCTGAGTAGAATTTGAAAGAGCAATTGATTGGTTTGCAAGATTCTTAGATAACAGTGAAGCTTTACAACATTTTATTTTGCCAGGACGGACCTGAAAGTTAAAGGTTAGTGGTGCCAGAATGTGATATTACTCTACAATTAAAAGTCTGGCAATGTATTTCATGAATTATTTGAGTAAAGTCTGGTATGAATGCTTTTAAAATATTGAGGTAGTTAATGTTATGAATTTAGCATTTTTGTCATCAGATATTAATGAGCATTCTTGTGTGACATTGTCTATAATTTCCATCTTTTGCTTTTATTTCCCTAATTCTATATATTATTTTCTTGTTTCTTACCCTTTTATGTCTCTTTTTTAATACTCAGAATAACTTCTCTATAGATTTTTGTTTTCAAGATAACTTTGGAATGTAAAAAGGGACATTATCACCAAACAAAACAAAACAAAACAAAACAAAAAATCCAATGAGTTACACGTTTTGTTGGGTTGAGAAAGAGAGAAAACCTTACAAGATCTTAGGATGAAGATCCCATTGATGAGTTTTAAAGTAAGAAATAACATAATTTGTGTTTAGAAGGTCCGAGTCCCAGTTAGGAGTACACTGTGGTGCTCTCACTTTGGCCTTTGGGCTGGAACAAGGGCAAAGAGATAAAGAGAGATAGGTTTGGAATATGGTGCTTGCTAAGGAGTGGATTACGGAAAGGAGAGTTTCTCAAGAAGAAAGGGTTACATAGTATTACCATTTTCTGAGGGTAGTGTAAGTGGAGTAGAAGTTGTTTTCTTTAGTTTGGGCGAAAATAAGAAGTCAAGAGTTCTGTGTTGTGCCTTTTGAGTCTGAGGCGCTCAAGAGAATATGTTTAACAGCCAATTCAGTTAATGACTATGGTGGGAAAGGTGAAGGAGGGGTCAGTCATTAGCATATATTAGTAACGTTTAAAATCATGAGCGCTGCAGAGATCAGAAGGGTCGGAGCAGAGGTAGAGGAGAGTGTTACAGCCTCCATCAGTCAGATGAGGTAGATGAGAAAGAGCCTGTGAAGAATCCAGTGTAGCGATTTTGTGCAACATGTAAGAGTGTTTTAATAGAACTTGTACATCTTTAAGAGATACTGTGCTTTGTGAGTTTTTAAAAACATTATATTTAGTCAATCTTTGGTAAAATTTCAAGGATCATTCTGAATCACGCAAGCCAGTCTCCATGATGTTGGAGTAGTTGCCAGGGAATCCTTCTAGTTGGGTTGGTGGTGCCCATCCTTTGCCTTCCTCCCTCTGCCTTTTCAGGGCATGGATCTTTAAAAGTCACTGCATACTTGGTCAGGTGGGAGGAGTGTTCCAGAACATTCTTATAACATGGGTGTCCTTTGGCCTTCCTCTCAGGAGCTTTCACTTGAAATAAACAAATTGATTATTAAAGTCACGTTATTGTGAAAAGTTGTCATCAGCGAAAACGATTTGTGGTTCTCATGAGTTAGTAAGTGTTGGTAAATGTGGGATATCACTGGTGTCAGTGACAGCATGGGAACCCACAGGAGCCAGATTTATCAGTTCTGTAAGGAGACTCAAAACAATGAAGTGAAGACTAGCTAACTGCTCTTACTGCTTGACTCTGACCAGAATCTTGGCATGCCACCGCTTTTTTGATGTGACTATTTTTTTCCCCTCAATCTAAATTATGCAATGAAAAGAGAGGAGCTATTAGGTCTCTCCAGTACCTCACACATTGCTCAGTTCTGTATCACTGTGTTATCATTTTGACCTAACACAAGTCTGGGAGAAAAAATTTTGAGTCCTTTTGGTAGAGGTGAAGGTGGTGAAGTTTTGTTTACTGGGATTTTAGACAGAAAAAAGAATAAAGAAAAGATACTCATGAAAAGTCAAATATGAACTGGAACTACAGTTCTTTTGAGGATAAAACATACTTAATATGGAAATGAAGTGATGTATTGGAGACATAATGATATGTTTTAACTGTCCATTAAAACTGTTTCATCTGTTAACGCAAAGTGAAATGTTCCTCATGCTGTATTGATGACAATTTTTATTTCTCTCTCTCTTTTGGTTTCAGAGGAAGAACTTGTCTCTTTTTCTCAGCATTAGTTTGTTAACTTTCTGGGGAACTTCCCTTTTGGGTGCCCGGTTGTACTGGATGGGAAACAAACCACCAAGTTTTTCCAACTCCGACAACCCAGCTGCGGATTCGGACAGCCTCCTGGCTCGCACGCTTACCTTTTTCTACTTGCCCACAAAGAACCTCTGGTTGCTGCTCTGCCCGGATACCCTCAGTTTTGACTGGTCCATGGATGCTGTGCCTCTGCTGAAAACAATCTGTGATTGGAGAAACCTACACACTGTGGCCTTCTATACTGGACTCCTCATGCTTGCCTACTACAGTCTGAAGAGCCCAAGCATAGAAAGAGAATGCAATGGGAAAGCTGTCACAAATGGCAAGCAGAATGCAAATGGACATAGCTGCCATTCAGATGTGGAGTACCGGAACTCAGAAATTAAGCCCAACTTTGCCTCCAAAGCAGAAAATGGCATTAAAAAGAATGTATCACAGACAACACAGCTCCCTTCTACAGAGAACATTGTTGTTCTCTCTTTATCTTTGTTGATAATACCCTTTATTCCTGCTACGAACTTGTTTTTCTATGTTGGCTTTGTGATTGCAGAGCGAGTATTATATATTCCTAGTATGGGCTTCTGCCTCCTGATTACAGTGGGTGCCAGAGCCCTTTATGTCAAAGTCCAAAAGCGCTTTCTCAAGAGCTTGATTTTTTATGCTACAGCTACATTAATTGTTTTCTATGGACTCAAGACTGCGATCAGGAATGGAGATTGGCAGAACGAGGAAATGCTGTATAGGTCAGGGATAAAAGTGAACCCAGCTAAAGGTAATATTTTATTTTATGCCTTTGCCTGGAGAGTTTATACTTTCATCCTTTGTGCATCTTTGCTTCTTGCTTGAAATACAATATTTCAGAGGCGACCCTTTTTTGCATTATCTGTTTCTCTCATTCTTTATATTTTAAGAGATGTACAAACCAATTCAGAGTCATATCCAGCATTATGTACTTTCAATAGTAGTATTTTCTCATGTATGAGTATGTGTCCAGAAGAATTAGAACTATTATTGTTTAGAAATACTGACTGTCATTCAGAATTAAGAAAAATAGTTAGTTCCACATTTTAAAATGCTGGTAATGGGCATCATATAATGAAATTCTGGTTATCTCACTAAAGTTTGTGCTAGGTTTTCTGCTTTCTAAGAATATCATAAGAAAATATTCGAATTTCAGGTAAGGCTACTTCTGAATCTTGGACTTGTGTCTCCAGATGTCAAAGTGTGTACTTGTTGGTGTGAGGTTAATGTTAGCTTTGCAGAGGTTAAATAATCTGGGTGTTTCCAACCTCTTAGTACCTTTTTTACTTGAGTTCATAAGTCACTTAGGAAAATGAACTTTTCACTATAGAATGAGAACATTGATTATATCGATATGCTTTTGGTTTAGAAAATTATGTTACCAAATATCAAAGTTGATAGGCAAAATTGAAATTAGTTTCTTTGAAATAAAAGTGAATAGCTGAAATTTGTTACCATGGGTTCCTTTGCTTTAGGGAATCTACTTTTTTTTTTTTTTGGTTTTCTTCCAGTACCAGGAATTGAACTCACAACCTTGAAGTTGCCAGGCAGGCGCTTTGCCACTGAGCTAAATCCCCAAGCCCTGCTTTAGGGAATTTAAACAATGCTGGACTCTAGACAATGGTTGAATGAAAATAAGTACAATGTTAGGGAAGATATGTAGCAAAGAGTGCCATATAGTACTATTCTTCATAATCACTTTTTTATTTTTCCTTTAAATTACAGTTGCTTGTACAGCAACTGATCTGAGATTCTTCTAGCTTCTTCCACACAATTCTATGTCAGTATCCAAATAATGGAAGTGGAGAATTGTTCCAAAAGTTACAAAAAAGACATACTAATATACATCAGGATATACATCCAAAGATCTAGATACTCAGAAACAACTTTGGCATCCTTGTCTGACTAGTGCCAATTAAGCCAGGAGTTCACTGAGCAACTACACATTTCCTTAAGCCAAGAAACTAATTGTAGATATAATGCGTGGTAAATTGAAGCAGTTTTAATGGAAAGTAGGAGCATTAAAATTGAGCTAGTGCAATAGCATATAATTCTTCAACTCTGAAAAATCATTGCCATGTGGCTCTTCTAGGCAGTGAATACTCAAATTTATTGAGTGCTTGAACCTAAGTCTTGATGTAGTTAAAATGGTTGCAGTTGGCTTTTGCAGAATGCTTTTCATCTTGTTTCTCTCCACTAAAGATACAAGTACAGAGAGCAAGTTAATGTTTCCAAATTATGTTCTGTTGATTTAAAAAAAAAATACGTGGTATGGAATTAAAGCAGCCCCTTGCCCCAGAATGTTATTTGCATCATAGTGTTGTTCTGAGGATTTATTAAATTTTTTAGTTAACATCAGGCTAAGCTTCTATTACAGACAGCTAAGATCAAATGGGTTTAAATAAGATAGAAGCTATATTCTTTGATGTGACAATCTAAGCATGTGTAGCACAGAGCTGATAAGATGGCGCCATGAATTTTGGGGGTCTGCGCTCCTTTTTGTTTGTTCTCTTGCCATCTCAGTGTGTCACCCTGCTGATGTGGTCCAAGATGGCTCATTATCACTTCAACACTTCAGCTGACAGGAAGAGGGAGAGAAAGGGCAAGTGGTGGGTATACCCATTCTGAGAGCATTTCGCAGAAATTGTACACACCATGTTTGCTCACAGATCATTGTCCGCACCTAACTACAAGGAAGGCTGGGAATTGTTATCTTTGTTTTGGGAAACCAAGTATCCAGCCAAATTGAATTATTCTGAAAGAAGGGGAGGTGGATGTTCTGATACCAATGTGTAAGTTAGAAGTCTCTGTCTTGGAGTAGGTGAAAGCATTTTGTAAACTTATAGGCATTCCTCAGCCTTGGTTAGTAGTAATTCACTCAGTTATAATCCTGAACATAATATCTTGGTGACATGGTTAAAACTGTTCTATCATTTCTTCATCTGCATACTCAAAGAGTTATTAAGAATTTGCTTGGTTTCTAAAGTATATGCATGTCTCCCTCGTAATGCTTCAGAAGTGTTATAGGTTTTAGGCACTCCAAGAATAGCATTAGCTAGGTGAATGTGTAACTGACCAGTATTATGGTAGGTCCTTCGAGATATGAGAAGTTGAATTTCTGAAACCAGCTGCCTAGCGTGCATCACACCCAACTGCTTTCCATATGTATATATCCTTTACTGCCTCAGTTAACAACTAGGTTTTCCAGCAGCTCTGGAGTTCATCCATGACCCTGTCCTCCTTTCCCAACCCCACATCCATGCCATCAGTAATTTTCTGCTCTGTCTTCAAAAACACCTCCAGAGCTTAACCACTTTTTACCATTTCTACTGCTACCACCATTATGCAAGCCACTGTCATCTTTCTTTTGGGTTGTATGTCATTACTTCTCTCTGACTGATGTCTCAGCTTCTACTTTCTTGCCTTTTCACGTGCTTTGTAAATTTTTTATTTCAAGTCAGGCATGATGAATTTTGTACGCAAACTAAGGATTTAGTGTGAGGTTTTATGTTAACCTGGTTAGCAGTGGGACTGCATTTAGTGTTTGCTGTAGTCCTAGGAGTCAGGTGTCCTTGTTTGGATTTTGTTGCTGTTTGTTTTTGTCTTTGTCTCTCTTGTTGACTTGCATCATCTTCAAGGACTGTGAGTTTCCATTTGCATCACTTTCAGCTGTGAGCCACTATTATGCTCCTGTACCCTATGTATACGGCAGTAGGCAGTAAAGTATGGCAGAAAAGTTCTAGTATCTCACAAGTAAATCTCAGCTTCTCGGAAATGACCATAAGTGCTTGTTACTTTCCCTCTGTTGCCTTTCAGATTGAGACAGAAAAGCTAAAGCAGCTGGAATGATAGGATGTTCTTCCTTCTCAGCCTTGGGACTAGGCTTTGAAAAGGTCTTTTTCTAGAGGGTCAGTCTTTGGATGGAAGATGCCGTGGACTGACTCCATAAGGTTTATTCTTCCTCTGCCCCTTGTAAGAGTCCTACAATATGTTCTTGGCTCTCAAGGATGAGAACTAAAGCAGGTGGTCAAAGTCAGCGGTGAATTGTTGCTAACAGTTTGCCTCCCATAGCTCCTGCTCCTCACCTCTGCTGTAAGTGTAGATTTGCCAAATTTCAGAATGGTGGTTCCGTCCCTGAGACTGCAGCTCACTGTGAGATATGTCATTGATTCTCAGCTTGTTTCTTATTATTTTTTTGGTAAGATTGGGAATGATGAGATGCCCAAGCTCCTTCCCTACTGTATGACCGGAATCACTACTTCCACCGTTATATCCCTGGGGTCCTTTTTGAAATACATGTCAATGTGTATAGCATTCCACTGCCTCCAGTCAGCTACTGCCTTCTCATTTCTTTCAACGTAAAGCAGAACCCTGTATGCCTACTAGTCTTTCCTTCCTCCACTCTAGCCCTGCTTGTCCCTTTGATGTGCACTCTGTGTGCCAGATGAGCTTTGGTCCTTCTTGCTTCTTCTTGGAATGTGTTTCCTCAGATGGTCTCAGCTCCTTAGTTTATATGATCAGTAAGATGATTTATAAAATTGTCTACTCTGTTAACAGCTACCTCTCTGCCTCTTCCTACCATTCCCTACCCTCTTCCCGTTATTCATGTTTCTCAGAGCACTTACCACGATTTGACATACTGTTGTTTCTGTGTCTATGTGTTCACTGTCTGAATGCTTTGTCATCATGCCCTAAAACATACAATGAGAGAAAGCAGGTGTTGTGGTTTGTGTTTGGATGTTCCCCCAAGGCCTCATGAAGCCATGGGGCAGGCTTCTAGAGTTTTTAATTGATCCAGGACCAATGCTGGGATTATGGGTGTGAGTGCTGCACCCTCCCTGGGGCTGGTAGCTTTCACATAATACAAGGGAGGAAAAGATGCTTGCTCTCTGCTGCTCCTGTTTTTTTTGCTCTTGCTGCTTTTGCTGTTTTCCACGTCCATGAACTGTTGCCCTCTGCCATGTGCTACTGTGCCTTGGAACCAGCCAAGCATGGACTGAAACCTCCACAAACTGTGAGCTAAATAAACCTTTCCTTTCTTAATTTGGGGTGTCAGGTATTTGGTCTCAGCATTGAGAGAAAAATAACCAAGACAGGAGGCATTTTTAGAAAGATACCTATATGCAGTAATGGCAGCACTTGGTAAACAGAAGGCATGCAGTGAAGAATATGTTGAATAAAAAATGTTACAGTTATTGTCCTGCTCCTTAAGGAATTTAAAAACCTGGTTAGAAAGTGAGTGTACATTCATAAACAATGAAGTAACGGTGTGAAATGTTATGCTGCTAATGTACCAGGAACTGAGAGATGCTTCATTAAATTGGAAGTAGAAGTTACTCCAGGATTCCAGGACCACTTCCATTTTGATGCAGGCAAAACTCTTTCAATCTCGATTCCTTATCTTTTCTATTTATAACATGCTAATAATAATTCTGGCTACAGGAGACGGGCAGCAATCTTCCTTAAGGCAGATTTTTCTTAGTCTGTTATTTGAGCCTAGCAAAAGATTAGAAACCCTTTCATGTCAGTCTTTTAGAAGGTTTTCTGAGATTACAGATTTAGTTAGTTTTTAAATTTTTCTTCCTCTGAAAGCCTTTGCAGATTTTGGAGTGCTTCAGTCGAGCACGTGCGGTGACAGAATATGATTTTAAGCCTCATGAAGCATTGTACGTGAAAATCCTGCCTCCAGTTATGGGTCCTTAGACAGCTGCCAGTCATTAACTGATTGGATGCAAATGAGGATGGGTAAGG